TGTATGGACTGAGTTTCTTTTTCAAAACAGGGTATTTCGAAATAGTGCCCAGATGTGATTATGCAAATGAAGCACAGGAAATTCAAATCTGTGCTTCATTTGCAATTTCGCTCAGCTGCATTTGCATTCCTCTCAAAAGGAATGCAGTGTAAACATACCCTTGCTCTTGGATCCTGCTGCTGGGAGGTTCAAACAAACTGACCTCTTGAAAGAGGAATGCAGTGTAGACATACCTTTAGGTTGTGTCTATATTGGCACCCTTTCCCAGAAAAGGGATGCTAATGAGACAAGTCGGAATTGCAAATTGTGGGGAAAATCAAATAACTCCCATTGTGTCTAAGGGGAGACTGTGCAGAAATCATAACTTTCTAAAAGAAAACTGCTGTAAGGGTTAAAAAGTTTTCCAGGCCTGTGCAAGAACTCTTGCCCAAGAAAATGTCCACACTACCATATGCGAGCTGTGCTTTGCGCAAGAGCGCCCATGGCAGTGTGGACACTCTTGCGCAAGAAAGCTCTGATGGCCATTTTAGCCATAGGGCTTTCTTGTGCAAGAAATCCCTGCCAAGCATCCACACTGTCCTCTTGCGCAAGAGGGCTTACACCTTTTTTTTTTTTTTAAAGCGTAGCTCTTGCGCAAGAAGCCTTCCCTTACCATGCCGTACTGTAAATTTCCTTGCACAAGAGCAGGCAGGCAGTGTGGATGCTCTGCAGATTCTTGCGCAAGAACGGCCATACTTGCACAAGAAGCTGCAAGTGTAGACACAGCCCCCTTGTATCTTTCTCTGCTAGCTGGTATGATAGGAATGCAGGGCATATGACTGAGAAACCACACACAATGGCTGTGTCTTCATTGGCACCCTTTTCCGGAAAAGGGATGCTAATGACAAGTCGGAATTGCAAATGCCGCAGGGGATTTAAATATCCCCCGTGGCATTTGCCTGAACATGGCTGCCGCTTTTTTCCGGCTCGGGGCTTTGCCGGAGAAAAGCGCCAGTCTAGATGGGATCTTGCGGAAAATAAAGCCTTTTCCGGAAGATCCCTTATTCCTCCTAAATTCAGGAATAAGGGATCTTCCGGAAAAGGCTTTATTTTCCGCAAGATCCCATCTAGACTGGCGCTTTTCTCCGGCAAAGCCCCGAGCCGGAAAAAAGCGGCAGCCATGTTCAGGCAAATGCCACGGGGGATATTTAAATCCCCTGCGGCATTTGCAATTCCGACTTGTCATTAGCATCCCTTTTCCGGAAAAGGGTGCCAATGAAGACACAGCCATTGTGTGTGGTTTCTCAGTCATATGCCCTGCATTCCTATCATACCAGCTAGCAGAGAAAGATACAAGGGGGCTGTGTCTACACTTGCAGCTTCTTGTGCAAGTATGGCCGGTCTTGCGCAAGAATCTGCAGAGCATCCACACTGCCTGCCTGCTCTTGTGCAAGGAAATTTACAGTACGGCATGGTAAGGGAAGGCTTCTTGCGCAAGAGCTACGCTTTAAAAAAAAAAAAAAGGTGTAAGCCCTCTTGCGCAAGAGGACAGTGTGGATGCTTGGCAGGGATTTCTTGCACAAGAAAGCCCTATGGCTAAAATGGCCATCAGAGCTTTCTTGCGCAAGAGTGTCCACACTGCCATGGGCGCTCTTGCGCAAAGCACAGCTCGCATATGGTAGTGTGGACATTTTCTTGGGCAAGAGTTCTTGCACAAGAACCTGTGCTCAAGATGCTCTTGTGCAAGAAGCTGCCAGTGTAGACATAGCCTAGCTGTGTCCAGACATGATGTGATGCTTGTGGAAGTTGAGTGTTAAGGAAAACCTCTGGTGTGACCCATCCAGGGCTGTGATAAATAGGAAGATATTTTTATTCTGTACTAAGGTATTCTTCTGCAGTATCCCCACAGAGCTCATGGGGTAAAGGAACAGGACTCCTATCAGTCTAGCATTTTATTCTGTAGCTGCTAAGGATCCTGCATGATCCAGGAATCTACCTAACGCTGCATCTGTGGCAGTGTTATTTGAATCAGCACACACCACTCCCATAGATTTCAAACAGATGAGTGGGCTTTTCACATTGCATAGTGCCAAAAGTGAGCACTCAGTGCTGAGGTAAATTTACCTCAGTAACAAACTGTAAGCTGTAATTGTATTATGGTTTATGTATGCTACAAAATTAGGTTCTTAACTTGATATAACCACCATAGTAATTCATTGGCTATTGCTATCCATGCTATCCTCCTTCAGACCATTGTCTGCATCCTTGCCAGGAGTGCTTGCATATGGGGAATGGTAGGGGCATTGACAGCACATAGGAGCTTACAGCTGGGCTACGTCTAGACTGGCATGATTTTCCAGAAATGCTTTAACGGAAAAGTTTTCCGTTAAGCATTTTCAGAAAAGAGCGTCTAGATTGGCACAGAAGCTTTTCCGCAAAAGTACTTTTTGCGGAAAAGCCTCTGGCCAATCTAGATGTGCTTTTGCGCAAAAAAGCCCCAATCACTATTTTCGCGATCGGGGCTTTTTTGTGGAAAACAAATCTGAGCTGTCTATACTGGCCCTTTTGCACAAAAGGATTTTTGCCTGAACGGGAGCAGCCTACTATCTCCAAGAAGCACTGATTTCTTATAGTAGGAAGTCAACGCTTTTGTGGAAATTCAAGCAGCCACTGTAGACAGCTGGCAAGCTTTTCCAGAAAAGCTGCTGATTTTCCAGAAAACTGGCCAGTCTAGACACAGCCCTGGTGCCAGCCCCAGCTGTACATCCAGTAGAGGCTCAATTTCACAGCAGCAATAAAATTGACATTCTTGTCAGTTTCATGGCTGCCTCCTGCTCAAGAGCAACAGCCTATTGTTCACACCTGGAGCCATGAAACTGATAAGAATGACAGCCCACAACTGATCTAAATAACTTAGGGCAGCAAAGCTTAGTGTCTGTGTAGTTAATGACACCAACATAAGCACTATGCCTCTTATGGTGGAGTTATGTTGATATAGCAGGCCATTTATTTCAGCAGAAGTAGGATTCTAATGTACACACCAACATAACTAATGTTGATACAATGTGCCTTATGTCAACTTCTCTGTAGTGTGGACTGAATCTTAGAAAATAATAGTTATGGTACATACCATAAGGTGGTGCTGTTACAATCTTCCAAGTTCTTCTAGTGTGTAAACAAATGTTCAGCTTTGGGGCGATGCACAACATTTAGGGTTATACAAAGTTGGCTGTGTCTAGACTGGCAAGTTTTTCCGCAAAAGCACGTGCCGCTTGATTTTGTGCAAAAGCACTGATGTTCTACTGTCTGAAATCAGTGCTTCTTGCACAAATGCTTTGACGTTCCCGTTCGGGCAAAAGCCCTTTTCCGGAATTGCTTTTGTGCAAAAGGGCCAGTGTAGACAGCTAAAAACTGTTTTGTGCAAAAAAGCCTTGATGGCGAAAATGGTGATCGGGGCTTTCTTGTGCAAAACCGTGTCTAGATTGGCACAGACGCTTTCGGCAAAAAATGCTTTTGCTGAAAAGCATCTGTGTCAATCTAGATGCTCTTTTCTGCAAATGCTTTTAACGGAAAAGTTTTTCCATTAAAAGCACTTACGGAAAATCATGCCAGTCTAGACATAGCCAGTTTGGTGTAGAGTCAGTGATCCAGGAAGAAATGGCTATATGAGCTGTGGGACAGTTTGTTCTCTTCCTTGTCTGTGTGTGGAGCCCATTCTTGAGATAAGAGTCGATCTCTGGAAACCAGGCCTTGAAGCTGGGTTATTAATCCTGCTTTACGACATATAACCACCACTTTTCCAGAACTAGTCTAGATAGACTATGGAAATGTACTTCACAGCTACTGACCTGCAAAGCCCTTGGTTTATGCTTCAGCTACCACTTGCCAGATTGTTGAGACTATCAGAAAAAAGAATAACACTATCCCCTGGTTGTAACTCCGGTCAGCTGAAGAAGTGGGATGTGCCCACAAAAGCTCATGATCCCATCTATCAAGTGCTACCAGACTATTTGCTTGCTTTTTTAAAAAAAAAAAAAAAAAAAAACTATTGAACAGCATAGTTTACCTGGCCTCACAACTTTTAATATGGTCACAGTTGTAGGAGTCAGTTTAATGCTCCTAACAAGACTCTGGTTTATTTTGTGTGGTTAGTGTTCTCTCTTAAAGCTCAGGCTCCATATACAAAATATCATTTTAAAAAAATATCTTTACAAAGTGTACACTGGTCTAATGCCCGTAAGTAACTTTCTTCTATGTCAGAGTAGCCTATAATAACTATCCTCATTTCCACTCAAATCTGTCATTTATATCCATCACCACATTCTGAAAAGTGAGGGGGAAAGAACAGATATTGTGAAGTACATTCTGTAAGCTCACTAATCACTGTTCTGGGTAAAAACTTGTCAGCCATCAACTCTTTGGTAGTTCCCAGGGCTCAAATACAGTTGATTAGCATATCACACCAAGTTAGGGCACATACTGATGGTTACTGTTGACCAGCTGTACTCTTAAAAATAATGGGCAAAAATGTATCAACATGGAAAATGAACTATGATTTATATGGTAGGAAAATCTTTCAGCTGCTTTGTGAAATGCGCACATGCTCTGGGCCCCAGTAGTAGCGTCCTTCCATGGCAAAGCATCCAACTGTGCTACCATAGCTACAACCATGTTCACTAGATCTCAGAAGTACTCAACCATCAGTCACTTACATGCTGCCGTGCCCGTGCCCGAACGGCTCTACCGACTGTACCGCTCTACTGGGAACGCAACCCTAGCATGGGACGCGTTCAGCCACCTCCCTGCAGCCCCACGGCAAAGGGCCCCCATGCTGTTTGCAGGGTCAGGCCCCAATGGACCTGCGCGTTGTGCAGCAACAGAATGGGGGGAGCTGGGTGATTGTGTTTTCAATCTGGTCAGGAGGAGGTAAAACCTCCCTTCCCCTTGCGAGCAAGGCATCCCGATGTACTTCACGGGGAACAGCTTCCTTCACCCCCTGAAGCGGAGACTGCTTGCCGGGGGAACGGAAGAACAAAATGCAAAAGGAAACAGGCAGGCAGCACCCCCTGGCGTGGGTACGCCACTTGCGCAACCGCCCCACTTCCACCCAGCCAGCTACGCAAGCCATTTGGCGTAAAAGCCTTCGCGCATACCGGTGCTGCACTGCGGAGGTGCTACTGTTCAACCAAACTTTCCTCCCTCCTCCCCATCTTTCCTCTCTCCCCGCCCACTTCCTCTGCTCTGATTGGTAGGGTGGGCGGAGTCTCCTGTGGCTATTGGCTGTCGGTGTGCCGAGGCGGGGTAGGTTGCGCGCAGGGTAATAAAGTTAGTGGGGCTGGCTCAGTGCGCGTTAGAAGCAGCGGCGAGTTGGATCTCTATGGAGGAGATGGAAGGGAAGT